TTACCTCTCTCGTCCCGTCACGTTGTGAACATCTTCTATATACAAGACTAACACATATCTAGTAAATGCTTTGGCATTCTTGAAGGAACAGGATATTTCTAGAAACAGGTGGCGTGATACTAGTCACGTGACCTCGCTGACGTAACAATACATTTATACTATTAAGAAGTATAAGTGAAAGCCTTTAATTGGCAAACATAACTTAACATCTGACATACTGCAAATGCAAATATAAGTGTTCTTAAATCGTTTTACAATATTTCATATAAGTTGAAATTTGTGAAAATGGCTTTCGTCATTGCTCCTGACCTTATTCCATGTAAAATATGGCTCAGCGATAAGTGTGCGTGCTTACAACACTAAAAATCGGGTTTTCTTACCCATGCTGGGCAGAGCACAGATACCGCACTATGTAGCTTGCGTTTAACAACAAACCGATCGAAACAAACCATGTAAAATAATATTTGAAATTCTGACTACAAGGAAATGGTATTCAACGTGTCACCTTTCACTTTAAATAAGTTTAAAGTCAAAGAAATTAAACACTTTCTGCTATAACAGTGTAAGTAAACCTGCAAGGAGAGCGAATTTTCACTTCAGTTTGTTCTTCTTTTTTTCTATTTATTCCTTACACAGGTTTTCCTTTTAACGGCTATTAATATTTGTGTGTTAATAATACTAGAAATAAGCGATCTTATAACACTAAATATGTTTTTTTTTAATTGGACACTCAATGTTTGATGCTATAAGGCCGTTTAGTTCTTGTATCAAAAAGTCTTATACAGTATATGCACTACAGAAATTAAAAATTTGCGTGTTGTTTTCTATTCAAAACAGAAGAGGGTTCTATAGCCCTGACGTCAGGTTTAGCACGTGGTAAATTGAGTAAGATCGAACACCAATAAGAGAAAACAAGAGTGGTGGTTGGTGAAGCTCAAGAGAAGATCGAAAATATTAAGTTTTGCGATCCCTTTGGTACTTAGTATAATATTATAAAATATTTTAACGTGCCAAGGAAAAATTATCATGATGTTGCATATGCATTATAAATTAATGTTAGCTTGGGAAGCGCAAGTGTATCCATGACTATTTATTAGTATTACGCATACATATTTTTGTGATTAGGCCTAATAGTAATAATAATACTATACTATTACTATTAATAACTTGTTTTAATTAATACGTGAATCTGAATGACTATATTACTATCACTGTCAGTATATGTGTAATTTATTAATATTCTGGTTAGTCATGTTACTCGGATGTAAAGTGTTAATCAACTAAGTTATTGTCATGTCAGAAGTTAGTTTTAAACTTGTAAGTTGTACTGTTATTATAATACTACTTGGTACTAATACTATAGTATTATTAACACTAATACTGAGTAATAGTACTTGTAGTAGGATATATTTTACATAACCAGTAATGACAAGTTTTAGTAATATTTCTGATCCAGAGCATCCTAAAGTATTGTGAGTACTGAAATCGACCTAAATCATAAATCCAGTAAAGGTAAGAAAGACTGAGGATTACAAATAACGAACCAGCACTAAACAAGGTTTTCCCAGCATTTAATTAATTAAATAAATCAGACTCGGAGATCAAATATACAAGCCTTTCTCATTTTCAGTAGACAGTGGGCAGGTGGCTAAGGATTACAGTTTGCTGATGTTATTCACTTTTAAATATGATAGGAATTCACCTGGAACTTATAGGCCAGTTAGTCTTACTTCCGTAGTAAGAAAAAATTTAGAGTGGACTTGAAGTAATTAGAGTAAACTGTTACTAGTGAGTCAATGCTTGGATTTTTGTTGTTTATTATTTACTTTAACGATTTTTATTTTGGTGTAATTAGTAAAATTTGATGACAGTTTTACACACTCTAATCTTTAATTATTTTTAGTTATATTGAGGATGCTGAAGTACAACAGAGTGAGAACAGTTGGATAAATGGCCTTTAATTATGAGTGTAAGGTAATGCATTTGGGTCACATATATTTTAATATAAAGGGGAGCTTGCTTGATAGCATGACTGAAGAAATGTATCTTAACATAGTAACAGATACATTATATTTATAGGATCTATTTATGGACATATTGATTAAAAGTCGAAAGAGGAACTTATCTCTATAGATTATTGGTGGCCACCATTTGTAATACTGTTTAAAATTTATTATCTATCTAAGAAAGTGCATCGATATATAAGAAAGGATTTGGGTTATTAGGGTGATTCTGGACATGGAATATCTTATAGAGATAAGTTAAGAACCCTTAGTCTGTTCTCTCCTGAGAAAAGAAGGGTAAAAGGTGTTGAAATTTATAATGCTAGTCCTGGGATTGGTAGGATAGATTATAATGTTAGTCCTGGGATTGGTAGGATAGAGGCTTCTCATTTCTTTGTACTACATTTTGATAATAGTAGAATGAAAGAACATAAATTTTAAGATTTGGAAAAGAAAGGCTAGACTCCAGTCAAACAGTTTTATTTTTTAAGTGCATGATTAGCTTATGTAATGTGTTGCCATTAGCAGTAGTGGAAGCTGGCACTTTACACAGAGTCTAAAGGAGATCTTTAAAATACAGGGTAGGTTTAAGTTTTTATTTTCTCTCAAAGAGGGATGTGCAGAGAGACAGCCATAAATACCAAATGTCCATTTATGTTAAAAAAAATACGGAAAAGATAGAGGAAGAAATCCTAAAAAATTATTGTTAAAAACATTAAACAGACATTTCCTTAAAAGTACAGTATTAATAATGTCAATCAGGTATGGTAATGCTTTCTGTACAGGCTCAGTCATGGGCTTTTGACCATAATATCTAATGATTATTTGAGAATTGATTGTTATATAGTTTTTGTAATAATATATCTTTACTGCAATTGTGTGAGGAAGCATTTACTGCACTTTTGGGAAGTGCTGTTTTAATGAAGAGTGGGTAAGATTAGAACCGAAATATACAAACAAGGGGTACTTATATTAGCTGGTAAAAGTACCACACAGTAAATCAATGTTTTTCTTCCCTTTAGTAAATATAATTATGAAAATGTATATTTTACGCATGTAAAAAGCCTGGAATTTATCTATAGCAGCCATGAACTTGTGTTATGTTTGCACTAGTTTTTCACCTCGTTTAAAGTGTTTCAGATTTTTTGAGATTTCTTTATTGGTCAACTGCACAGTAAGATTAACTAAAATTTGTCAAACCATGAAGCAACAAACTGTTATTGTTTGTGTTCTTTAAGTAAAATCTGTTCTATACTTTCTTTAATGCTACTTACAGTAAATGTATTGGTTAGAATATTTAATGTATCTAGCTTTATTATTTTTAATGTTTTAGCATGATATTTTTATTATAAAGATTATTTTAAATTGTTAGCTTAGTATGTAGATTTAGGACTAATTAATCTCTTAAACTGGCCGAATCTTGTGAGATATTGTGATCATGGTCCAAAATATCGCTAGCAATGAGTGTATTAAACTGATGAAATAATATTTTAATCTGTTTAAGTAAGAGCAATAGATTTATCAACTATACTCGGCACTAGTTTGATTTTTAGTTCTGATATGTGTAGGTAGCTTGCTTTCATAAGAAGGCACTATTAATTGATTAACAGCAAAATAGGTGACATATCGTAATAATAATAAAACCCAAAGAAAACATTTAGATAAATTCATTATGAAAAAAAAATTGAATTATATAATTTACTGTTTAATCTTTTCTAAAATTGTTTTAGTTATGGAAAAATTTGTGGTATTAGTTATGAAATAACGATTACAAAAAAAATGATGACATGTACCTAGTATGGAAACATTCATAAATTTTTTGAGGCTTAAGCAGTTTTATGCTTGGCTGCACGTGAAATGCAAAAGAAAACTTTCCTTGTCGTAAAGCCTAGAAATTATGAATTTAGAAGCAGTGGAGATAATTCACTTTTCAAGCCATAAAAGAGTACACATCAGTAATAAGACAGAAAATAAAAATCTTTTTTTATTTATTTGTACAGATGTTGATGTGAAATTATTACTAGTTTTTGCTAGGACTTCAGCCATTGTTCATTGTTTGTGATTACTGAGTCAATACAAAGTTGAGGTATTTGTTCCAAGGGTCAGATTAGACATCTCTTCATTCTAGTTTTAAAAGAGCCTTCCTTTCCTAGTTCAGGTATGTCTTTTTTTACAATACCAACTATTCAATCATGTGACTTGTGCTGAAACACATCGAGTAACATATTTTTTGTAACATTGGTGGTGGAAGATATGCTAATGGATAACTACTTTTAACTTATTCACAATGCAAGATACACAGTTCGTTATCTACTTTGACGTAACATCAGAAATGTTTTGTACTTGCAACAAGTATCTTACCTGTAAGGAGACGTTAGTACAGGTCATAAAACAACGTAAGCTCACGAGTGAAAAGCTCATTTGCTCTTATTGTTAGAAGCATCAGACTTTTAAAAACTGAGTATCAAGGACTTTAAAAAATCTGAGATGATACTTTGTGCAGTTTATATATATTCTGTAGAAGTGTAAGCTCTGGTAAATTATATAAACATAACATCACCTCAGTATTCAAAGTGTGGGAATTTTTCTAAAGGGTGTATCAATTAATTCTACCATGAAGAATGACATGTAGAAGCCTTTGTATATTTCTAGTTGGTCATAATAATTTTACAACAAAAATTTATGTTAATTGGAAAGAACTGATTCTCTCTTACTCTTTTATTATGTGAAATGTATTTGCTTGTATGTCATGGGTCGTATGCAAAAGGGCAAAAAGAAAACGTACATCTAATGATAATACATATAAAGCCTGTGAATATTCTAGATGATTGGTCCAGTGTACTACTTGGAGTTGGAACCACAATTACTTTTAGGTTAAAAATAGTGCTGGCACAAGTTAAAAAAAAATCAGTTTCTCGTAAAATGAAATGAACACAGTTTCAAATCACTGTAAAAACTTTTAGTTACATATGTAAAAATATTTATAATTTCCAATCCTTCCTTTTCAGGGGGAGAAGCAGTTTTTTTGTGTAAAGAATGGCTTTCCCATCTTGTTGTGTGATTTAGAAAATCTTCAGTAGCAACTGAGATTCTATTCATGTACTGAAGATTTTCAAATAAAACAAAGGTGTCATTTAATGATCTTCTGGATAAGTGCCAAAAACTAAGATCTTAGATTTGTTTCATTATTGTGGTGAAAATAATGCTGCATGCAAGACCCAAACTTTTATTGTATTGAAAAAAAAAAGTACTATATTTATATTCCAAAACTGAACAAACAAGTATTTTGACTCTCTACAAAGGTAACTTCTAAAGGACAAAATAGAAATAATGATAACAAACGTAAATAAATTTAGAGTAGTTATATACACTAGACAAATATAAAACTGAAAATAAAATCACAAAAATGTGCAAGTTAAAAAAACAAAATTCACTCACCCTGTTTTCATTCCAATTGGAGATCATTCTACTTTGCCATACAAACATCTATGCATGTATTGAATTTTCTTGGACTGATAACATTATCATAACCCTACATACACACATAAGAAAATAATAAATTGTGAGTAAAATGAAAGTCATTAACCAGGAAATGTTAACACTACCAATGATATCAACATAACTGTTGCCATAATTCCAAATAAGAAATATTGAAATCACATTATTTACACATTATCTCTTTTAATATTGCTTGAAACTAAACCCAAACCCAATCAATGAAATTGTAAGAAACCTGTTTTGAAACTTATTTCCAATGTAGAAGTGAATAAAATAACAGTATGATCAGAACAATTATAAGTCAGCTCCATAAAACAACTATACACTGTGTCACCAGAATGTACAGGTCAGCACTGTACCACGAACAACATACAACCTTAGTCACAAGTACGAAAATTGAGTGCTTTTAAGTTTAGAGACTTTTGAGTTGTAAGTTTGGACTTGATTTCTAATCTGAGCTTTGGAAGTATTTTCATGTAATAGAAGATAGGAACTTTTATGTATATATAAAAAAAACTTAATTGGCAGCTACAATGGGCTTTTCTTTGATTTCAAAAGTTTGTGTTGACAGTTGTTACAGTAAGTTAAATCACTAGAAGTTTTGTAATAAATTGTCTCAAAAATTATGTGTGAAAGTTGTTTTTTTCTGGGTTTTGGTAGTTTTCTATTTCAGCTTAAACATTTATTTGTGTGTGGGGGAGTAGCTATTTATTTTGACTGTTATGTTCTGTGTAATATGTGACCATTGTTCTGTATGGTAGAAAGATTGTCAAACGTATATAGTTATATTTTTCTTTCTTTGTAATGACATGCTATTGTGTTCTGTTTGTTTAGTGTTTTTAGAAAAAACTTTTACAAGTTCTTACAGGAATTAACTTTACTGATTTTAGGAACTGTATTCAAGATAAGTTTAAGCTAACATCTGTCACTAATACAATTTTTTTTCTTCTTATTTCAGGAACTTTGTGGAAGTGTCATGTGTGTGAAAAAGTTCTAGCAACGAGCTCAGGTTTCAGGCGTCATCTAAACAGCCATTCAGGGCATTATATAGAACAGACTTGTAACATGTGTTTCAAGTCATTCAGGTGGAAAGAATCCTTGCTGCGGCACTTAAAAGCAGTCCATAGCTTGCAACAGTGACTTCTATGCTCTTTGTTTTATTGTGCAGTTAATGGCTGTGACTGTAATAAAAGAAATCTGAAATTTAAATAAAATTTTACTTCTTAAATTACCTTGTTTTTTAATTTCTTGAACAACATAGAGCATCTTGATGTACCCATTTTAAATCTTTTGAAAAAATGAAGATTTTGGGGTACACATTTTGTAATTTAAAAATCACAAGCCTGGGTTGTACTTTTCATTTATTTTGGTGGTCTTAAAATCAAATGTTATTGGCTTGAAAAGTAGTATTTAAAATCCAGTCATTTACAATATATTTATATTTAACAAGAGTCTGTTTTGTTTTTCATTTATTAGAGGCATAAGCGCATGTATATGCAGGATCAACCATGTTTGATTTAAATAAATATTAACTTTTTGGGTGAATAGAATCAGATTCAATATGATAACATTTGAAAAAGTCTTAATTAAGGATCTCATTTGAATAATTACTATGGAAGGGAAGAAAATCGAATGAAACGTACAAAAATTTTCTGATATCACAAAGAATAATTGGTGGAACCGTTTTTGTGTGTTGTGATTGTCGAGAAAGAAAATGGTGTACTGGCCTTGAATACAGTTTGCTTGAAATTATTCTGCATCTTAATTGTGTGTGGAAACTGCCATGTTATCAGAATAACTCTCTTTGATAGGCTAGATGCTTTTTTACTTTCATGTACAGCATGATTTGAGTGATAAACATGCTTGTTGTGAAAAAACTTAAAATACTGTGTTGTTTTCGTAGCAGCCAGGAAAGT